CACCCTCCCTCCTCTCTCCTCCCTCCCCACCCTCCCCGAAATGAATAGGATGGCTTCACTGGTCAACTCTTTACATTCACGAACAAAGAAAGCAGAGGAACGTCCACCCTTCCACCATCCGACCTTGAGCTGCGGCAGCCTCCGCCACCTCCCCGGAGCTGTCAGTCCAACCATCGCCTCTTTACCTGGAGGCTTCTTCCTTGAGCTCCTTGTTTTTCCTCACTTCTTCCGCGTGTTTGTCCTGTGGGAGGGAGGGGGTAGGAGGGAAGGAGGAGGGGGGAGACGCGTTAGCTGGACGGACTTCGGGGTCCCCACGGGCGGGCCAGCGGCTTCGGAGGGGTTCGAAGGCACGAGGGCGTTCGCGAGGTTCATCCCCGGAGGGACACCACCGATGGGTCAACAGCGTCCTCTCCTCCCCTGGGGTGTTTTAAGGACTGTGGAGGCACTCGGGGACAGATTGTCCTCGCCCGCTAGCTAGGAGGTAGACGTCAACCAGACGGGATGGACCGGGAGCCCCAAGGAGATGGGGTTAGCTCGGATTGTCCTTCATTATCTCGTGCTCTCTGCCTCTGACCCAAGGCTAGCTGAGGCGTTTGGAGAAGGGCACTGGGCGAGCTCCTTGCAGAAGGGATGTTTTGGAGGGAGCTGGAGGTGGTGAGGGTGGGACCTTCCGTGCTGAGGTTGGGAACAGACCTGCTTCAGGGAGAGAGAAGAGGTCTGCACAGGCTGGCAGGGAGGAAGCATCTCCTAGCGTGGCAGCACGGACCCCTCCAGCTCCACCTGGGAGCTGATGGTTCCACGGCCTCTGGGGAAGGGACCAGGGGAAGATCTGCCACCCGGGAGGTGGAAAAATTGCCAGAGGTGGGTTAAGGCCGTTACGGTGGGACATGGGGAAAGCAAAGGCTTTGCATGTCTGGGGACAAGATATGGGTCCCAGCTCTCCACCCACCAACCGCTTGTGAACATATGGACTTGGTGGGTCCCCAGGCAGGACACCCCACCCCAGGGTGGGAGGTTGCGTTTGGGTAGTGCTGCGCAGTGGGAGGGGAAGAGGGAGCCCCCCATTGGTGGTGTCCCCAGGGGATAATGACAGCCCAAGAGCCATGCAGGGTACCCAGGTGTCCTGTAACACCGGCTTGGATCGGTGTCCCAGTGCATCCCCCCTCCCTCCTCAACATGCTCTCACCTTCTCCTGCAAGCGCTCCAGCATGGCCGCTAAATGGGCCTCGCGGTTCTCCTTGTTGGACTCCATCTTCTGTGCCAGCTTCTCTTTGGCCATTTTGATGAAGTTGTTGTTCTCCTCGATGGCCTTCTGGATGACCTCTCGCTCGTGCTCCCGCTTCTCCGCCAGATGCTTCAGCAGCTCAGCTTCTTGGTACTGCGTGGGCAAAGCAGACATGATGGCCACATGGACCATGGGTTCCTTACCCTCCTGGCCAAAACCATCCCCTCCAAACTCAGCAACATCCCCAAAGGTGGGTGCGCCTTGCTAAGCACCCCAAATACAAGGTTGCGTGTCCCCATGGCATGTCTCCATGCTTCAGTTCCGTGCACGAGCTGCTGGACCTACCTTCCTCCTCTCCTCTGCTGCCTCCAACTTCTTCTGGATCTCCTCCAGGGACGGGTCGCGCCGCCGGGGCAGGGAGGCGTTGAACTCGGGGATGCCATCAAACGATGGGGGCTTCAGGATGACCTCGAAGGACTGCCCTGAGGTCCGCTTGTTGAGCTCGATGACTTCCATGTCGGAGATGACGCACCAGGTGAGGTCTACCGTGTCTGCTGGGAGAGGGGCACGGGCTGACCGCTGACACGGGTGCGTCCCACCCCGTCGGGCAAACCACCCTGGGGTCCCGCAGCCCCCTCAATGTGCCACCACCTTCCTTGATCTCCACTGGTTTCACCGAAATCCCCACACCCTGTGGTTCAACCCCAACATGGTGGGTTGGGATTGGGACTCCAGGACAGCCATTGAGGGGGCTGAGCTGGGAATATTTGGGCGAGCTGAGGGGTTGGGCATCCCCTCCCCGAGGGAGTGGTGGGCAAGCAGGGCAGCGTTCAACCCCGCTTTGGGGACTGGGAACGGGACCATGAGGCCCCTTTCCAGCCGCAGATCCCCTCGCAGCTAGCCAGGAGGAGCTCCCCAAGGCTGGGCATCCCCCTCCACCGCCGCTGCCGCCTCTGGACCCGCCGACGTGAATCAGTCTGAATCACCCGGCGCCGTCTGCCTAAAAATACCGAGCCCACGCCCGGCGCTTGGTGCAGCGGAGCCGTGGCAGAGGTGGGGACACCAACCCAGCCCCGTGTTTCCACCCGGTGACACCTCCCTCGGTTTGAGGGTGACCCCGCTCACACCAAAAGGGGGGGGTCTGCAGCCCCCACCCTTCGTGCACCCCCTCGACCGTGGGTGGGCAGCGGGTTCCTACCTTCATACGTGTACGCCGGTTTGTTCAGGGGGTCCGAGAGGAAACAGGAGCAGAAGAGGGAGACGAGAGGCAGCTCCTTCATCTTCTCTTTGTAAGCTGGGAAGAGATGGTGGGGTTGGGGTCAGACTGGGGGGTAAGGGAGGTCCTGCCAGGCATCCAGGGCAGGGGCTGGCACGTGCCAGGGAAGGGCTGGGACGGGGACGGTGACTGGCACCAAATTTTACCCAGATATCGCAAACAGGGTGATGTGGGCGAGGGCAACAAGGCGCGCAAAGGGGAAACTGAGGCGCACAAAGGAGGGGTGCTTTACTCATGGCCACGTGGGTCCTGTCTGTCCTGGTGTGTTAACCCCACTCACGAGCCCCCCACCTGTCACCACTGGGATGCTGTGACCATCCCAGGGCAGGGCTTAGCCCAGGGTAGGGCCACCACCGGGGAGGTTTGGATGGGCCCCCACTCAAACTAGAGGTGCCCCAGCAGGGGGTAGGTGCCAGGGTTGGGTTTTTGGGGTTGGGTGAGCCGCGCAGTCCCCTGTCCCCCCACGCGTGGCCCCCCGCGGCGGTGCCGTACCAGCCAGAGTCATGGCGTGGAGATCCTTGGACGTCTGCAGCAAGAGCGTTCCTGGGGGAAGGAAAGAACCAGGATCAGTGCGAGGTGTCCCAGGGCCTGGGGGCATCACCCGAGCCTGCCCACCCATTGCGGGGGTGTCCTGGGGCTGGGGGCATCACCCAGCCCTGCCTGTCCCCTGCAGGGAGTGGGACAGCTGCCCACACGTGGCCTCGTGAGCGCGTTGGGGTTGCTGTGGTGGGCACGCTCTGGGGTGGTGTGATGGGCGAGGTGGGCACTGGCGAGGTGGGCACGCGCTGGTGTGGTGTGAGGGACACACCGGTGTGATCAGAATATCACAGAAGGGTTTAGGTTGGAAGGGACCTTGAAGATCATGGAGTTCCAACCCACCTGCCATGGGCAGGGACGCGTCCCACTAGACCAGGTGATGGGCAGGGAGACGTGGTGTGATGTGATGGGTACGTGCTGTTGGGATGGGCACGCGCTGGTGGGATGCGGTGGGTGTGCACTGGTGTGATGGGCAGACAGCTGTGGTGGGATGCGATGGGTACGTGCTGTCGGGATGGACACACGCTGGGGGGATGCGGTGGGGGTGCACTGGTGGGGTGTGAGGGACACACTGATGCGATGGGCACACCGATGTGGGGGGAACGTGCTGTTGGGATGGGCACGCGCTGGTGGGATGCGGTGGGTGTGCACTGGTGGGGTGTGAGGGACACACTGATGCGATGGGCACACCGATGTGGTGGGAACGTGCTGTTGGGATGGGCACACACTGGTGGGATGTGGGGGGCACACACGCGTATCTAGAGAGCCCCAGTCCTCAGCTCGCCCCTTGCCAGACCATGCTCAGAGGGGCTGATGCAGCAGGACCCTCTCCCAGATCCCACTGGGACCCTCTCCTATGGGTCTGTGGGTCAGGCGTGGGGGCATCCCTGGTACCCCCCACCCATCCCCGGGGTGCAGAGCCCCAGGGTGAGCGCAGGACCTGGCACGGGGTGGCAACACCCAGAGACTCACCCAAACCCGGATAAGCCAGGGCCGTCCCCCTTCCCCAGGGTTTCCGGGGGACACAAATGGGGTGGCGGTGCCATCAGAGGAGTTCCCCAGTGGAAATGCCCTTCCCGGCTGTGCCAGGGTGGAAAATGAATCTGGTTTTGGGAATTATTCCTGGCTTTTGTTTCTAAGGGGGTGAGAGGGAAGGTCCTTCTTTAAAATAGGGACTCTAAAATCCTTGCAGCCCCCACCTCGGGAAGGGGCAATGCTCCCCCGTGGGCATCCCGGGGCTGTCGGGGCACTGCCAGCTCCCACAGCCGCAACACATCCCGACCCAGCTCCATCCGGGGGATCCCGAGAAATTCCGAAATTCGTCCCTGCTGAAACCCCGTCCCGCTGGCATCTGACACGGGCATCGCGCAAATAACCCGCCCGCAGCTGCCGGGGACGGGGTGGGGGAGGGGGGAAACTGGGACAAGATGTGGGGACACCTTCCCCAGAGGTGTTCCCCCTTTTTTCGGTGACCCCCAGAGCCAGGGCTGGGGGGGGTTGGGGGTTACCCAGGGGTGTACCCCCAACCAGGGCTTTCCTCCTCGCCCGGCTGAAGGGGTTTGCTGCAGGAGGCTCTCGCCGAGCGCGGTGCCAAGGCAGGGTGGGGATGCTCTGATGGCTCGTGTGCCCACAGGAGGCTGTGCCTGGAGCTCTGACAGCCCGGCTGGAAGCCGCCCGCCCGCAAACCGGCAGCTGAAGGCATTTGCCATCCTCATCCCTCCCCGCTCCTCGCATTGCCGCCCCAAATCCTCATTTTCCCTGGGCTTGCGGGTGGGACCTGGATGCGTTTCATGCTACAGAAGCCTTTCTTCCAGGCGTTCCTACCCTGACTGGAGGGGAAAATGCAGACGTGACCCCATCAGACCCGAAATGGGGATGGGGGGGGGGGGAAGGTGGGCTGCCAGCCCCACTCCTCCTCGCTGGATGAAGATGCCGTTCAAGGCATTTGGAGGAGGAAACCCCCTCCCTTTTGAGCTCCCTTCCCTCCCTGCTTCCCAGCCCTGCTGCCCCCCAACCCCGACCAGTATGGCCAGCCCAAGGGGTTGCGGGGGGGTGTGGTTGGGGCTCTGCTGCTGCTGTCACCCCCAGGATGAAACTTGTCCCCCCCAGCCTGAAACCTCACTCAATCCCCCCCGCTTTCCCACGGCGTGGAGAGGTTGCGGGAGCGATCCCGCTCCCAGCGAGGCGCACATGGAAGGGAGGGGGCCCCACCCGACGACCCCAAAGAGCTGCAACCCGCTTTCACACCCCATCTTGGTGAAGGACACCCCCCCACCACCACCACCACCCCCCCCTCATCTCCCATCCCCTTCCCTGGAAGAAGCACCCAGTGATGGATGGAGG